TNTGAATTGACTGTAGTTTGGAGATTTCCAACATGGAGACACCGTAAAAAAGCTGTTGCAATAGTCCAGCCTCGAGTGAATAAACGCGTGAGCCAAACTCTTCAGGGTAATCTCATTAAGTGAATTTTTTATAGCCCTCATCATGCGAAGTTGTCGATGACATTCACCAGTTAGCCACTTCATGTGACACTCCATTGTCATATTACTATCGAATACAACACCAAGATTACGAGCAACTTGACATAATTCAATCTTACTGTTGTTAATCTCAATCGAAGTGAAATTTAATTTGTTTATTTGCTGCCACGTACCAATTGGCAATAACTGGGTTTTGCATTGATTCAATTTGAGTTTGTGTTTGATCATCCAAGAATCAATCGCCTCCATGCACCGACCAAATCTTTCAAAAAGAGCTTGAAATGAAGTAGCTAGACCACTGACAATGTCATCTACAAACCCATGATGCTTGAACCTGAATGAATCAATGATGTCGAAAACGTCAGCAGTGTATAGCAAAAACAGCAGCGGTCCAAGTACTGAACCTTGTGGTACACCATGCTTTACTTCCTGAACAGATGATAAAACATCTCTGCGTAATACCTGTTGTTTTCGCGCAGAGAGATATGATTCGAACCAAATAAGAACAACACCTGAGATTCCAAAACATTGACGTAGCTTTCCAAGTAAATTCTCGTGATTAACCCAATCAAAGGCCGCACTAATATCAAGTAATGCCAAGATTGAGATATTTTGATCATCACTAGCAGCAAACAACTCAGATGAAACATCTATCAGTGCAGTCTCAGTTGAATGAAATTTTTTAAATCCTGAATGACATTTTGGTAGCAGATCATTATGATTTAAATGACAAATTAGCTGTTTGTGGACAATTCGTTCAATAACTTTCGACAAAAATGTTAGATTTGGCACCAGTCTATAACTTGATAAACTATTCTTGTCTAGTATCTGCTTTTTTAACATCGGAACAACAATTGAATATTTAAAAGCCATCGGGAAATGCCCATAAGTTAAACATGCATTTACAAAAACAGTGAAAAACGGAAAAAACAGATGAACGTATTTTTTAAGTATTTTAGTTGGCAAATCATCCAGTGAGCACGACTTTGTGGGTGAATCCAAAATAACTTGACGAATCTCATCACTGGAACAGCACTGAAATAATGAAAGTTCAACACATTCACTCATCCGATTATTTGAAATAATAGGCTCTTTGATACAAGGCATCGTCTCTAGTATGTTGTCAACCTTATCTTTGAAAAATTGAGCAAAATCATCAGAATTTAACTCATCTGACATATTAAGCGAATCAATAGAATTCATCTTTCATAAAACCCTGTTAATAGCCATCCAGAGTTTCTTTGGATTGGAGCCATTTATTTCAATCATATTTCTCCAGTAGGCTTTCCTTTTTTCTGAGAGCAATGACTGTTTCTTCAACATGGCATCAACGAACCTTTTCTTGCCAACATCCCCAAGATTAAGTCGATAAGCTCTTTCAAGTCTTCTGCAGCGTAGCTTAGTCTGCCACACTCTTCATCAAACCAAGGCGAGGCAGCATTATTTCTAGTAATCACATAGTGTTTCGGTGCAACAACATCTATAATATTTTTAACTTCTTTTTTGTAAGGATCAAATAAGTATTCAGGATCATCTGATTTAAAAGGTCCATTAATAGACGAGTTTATTATTAACGCGGCAAATTTATCAAAATCCACACGATTCCATGAACAAACCAGTCTTTTTTTCTAACAAAATAATTTAGTGGAATCGAAAAACATACTTGGACCAGACCATGATCTGAATAAATACCATATGGACCTACGGTACATGAGGACACAGGCAATTTCATTGAGGATACCACTAGATCCAAGATACCACCATGTACATGGGTAGTTTCCTTAACTCTATTTTCAAGGTTAAATGCATGAAAAACATCTACCAACCGGATTGAATGAGTATCTCCAACCTTTTCCAAATGAACATTCAAATCCCCCGTAAGAATGACATAGTCCGCCAATAATGAAATCTGCTTCAAGAGTAATGTAAGCTCATCAAAAAATGCAGGAGTAATTGGTACAGAACCCGGTTGATAAACTGCCAATAACAAAATCGTTCTTTTACCGCACCGAAATTTAATAGCATGTGATTCAAAGGAATTTACCACTGGTAATTCTATTTTTTTAACCTTGAAAACATTCTTAAAATATGCAATTATTCCTCCATGATTAGGGTCGTGTGGGCGCAAATAATCCATAAATGAGAAGCCATAAGGCATAGCCAATTTCACAGAGATATCATCAGATGATCCATGCCATGTTTCGGTCAATACACATATATCTAAATCATTTGATAACAAATCATGAATTATATCATATTTTGACCGAATGGATCTAATATTAAACAATCCCAAATTCAATCCGGTTTGGTAGCAGGCCTTGGATATCTCACTATTCTCCATTGCCCGACCACACCTCTGACCCGATATAAAAAATGACCATCTTTAGATTCCCGCGTTTTTGCCTCAAGAACCAATTTTTTAAGCTGCAGACGTTGGTCCGTTGTAAGGTCATCACTAATCCTCACTTCCCTCATTTTTTCATCTAGCAGCGCTAATCTGAACAATCTTCTCAAAACCAAGACTTTTGCAGAAAGGTTGATAAACTTAACAATCACAGGACGCGGGGAGACGATTCGCTTGGCTTTTTACCTTGTCTAAATATTTTCAATATGTCATCATCTTTCAGAGACTCGTCTGTTAGGGACCTTAAAAAGCCAAGAACATTGCCCCTATC